TATTTGAAGGGCAGGAGGGAGCTAACAGAGGGCAGCCAGGGCTAAATTCTCTGCTGCTTCTGGTGTCCCACCCGGTACGTGGGTGGTGTGCCAGGACCCTCTCTGGAGCCAGGGCTGAAGGAAGGAGCACGCCGTTGGGCTGCTGGGAACACCATGCAGGGAGGATTCAACCACTCACAAGCCATTTCGGAGCATGGAGGTAAGAGCTGCTTCTGCCACTGCTGACCAGTGTTGGCTTCATCGTTGCTGGTACTGCTCATCCTACTCCTTCATCTGGAGCACTGTGTCCAGTTCTGGGCTCCCCAGTTCAAGAAGGACAGGGAACTGCTGGAGAGGGTACAGCAGAGGGCTACAAAGATGATGAGGGGCCTGGAGCATCTCCCTTACGAGGAGAGGCTGAGGGACTTGGGTCTTTTTAGTCTGGAGAAGAGAAGGCTGAGGGGAGATCTGATCAATGCCTATAAACACTTAAAGGGTGGGTGTCGAGAGGACAGGGCTAGTCTTTTTTCAGTGGTGCCCAGGGACAGGACAAGAGGAAATGGGCACAAACTTGAATAGAAGAAGTTCCACCTAAACATGAGGAGGAACTTCTTTCCTGTGAGAGTGGCAGAGCCCTGGAAGAGGCTGCCCAGGGAGGTGGTGGAGTCTCCTCTGGAGACATTCAAAACCCACCCGGACAAGTTCCTGTGCAACCTGCTCTAGGTGGACCTGCTTTGGCAGGGGGTTGGACTAGATGATCTCCAGAGGTCCCTTCCAACCCCATGTGATTCTGTGATTCTGTGATTCTGTGGTAATGGTGGTACTCCTCCAAAATAATTTTTGGGAACCTCTGCTACTCAAAAAACCCTGCAGATAAAGGCAGACCATCAATAGAAACTAGTGCGTTTCCCCTACTGAGAATGGACTCCAGGAGCAGCACAGAGGAAACTCTAGCACCAGATTTCTTCAGGCTGGGCTTTTCTCAGGGCCAGCAATGGCTGTGGGGCAGAGCACCCCGAGCCGAGGTGCTCTGATGACGTTTCCGTCTGGTGGTCCCATTGTGTCCCGCTCGCCGAGGCTGCGGGTCCCCATTGTGTCCACGTCCAGGGGGGCTGACGCCGGTTTCCGCCACGCAGCCTGTGCTCGTTCCTTTGCATCTGGGAGCACTGCTGAGAAGTTTCCAGAGACAAGCTTGGCCCCCGTTTCCAGTGTAATGCGGAGTTGTACCGGCTGACGGGGACAAGTCGGAAACGCTGGCAAGATAGCAGGCATCCTCAGGAAGCAAACCCTATCAGAAAGCACTGATGTCATTGGCAAACAAAACAAATGAGCGCTGGAAAAACAAACTGTTTTCCAGCCTTGTTGATCTTCCCTCAAATTAGAAGCTCTGCACAGCCTTTACTCTTTGGCCCAGCCTGACAGATGATTTGCAAGACAGTGCTGCTGCAACGGTTTTGTTATTTCTGCCAATCCAATTCCTTTGATTTTATTTTTTAAGATTTATTTATCTAAGGGAGGGTGGGAAGAGTGTTCCAGTGCCGCAGCCAGGTTTGGAAATCTGGCCAGCATCCTCATGGACGTTGGGTGCTGACGTGGTTGATGTCCTGCAGGCTTTGCTCAGCAGGGTCTCCAGCTCCCCTGCCCCTTGACCAGGTCCCACGTGGGGGGATGGTACCTCCCCAAAACTTCTGCGCAGTCTTTCGAGGCATGTGTCCTGCTAGCCTGGCTAGCAGCCACTCGCCACCACTGCTACCACCTCCCGAGAGCTTGTGCCATGGGCACAAAGCCTTTCACCATGTGGTGGGTCTGGGGAGAGCTCATCAGGGGGTTTGGTGCCGAGGACACCATGGCAAGCAGAGGGGTGCAGGCTTCTCCACCTTATGTGTTCCCACTGAGGAGCTGTGATGGGCACAGCGAGAGCATCCAGCTGCCAGCCAGGCTTTCCCACCGCCCGTGGCACCCTGGGGTTTTCCCTTCCACACGTGGTAAGTTTGCAGAGCAGGAGGAGACAGTCGCACCAGTTCCTCACGGTGTATTTCCACCCCGCTGCTCTCATCACCTGTGCCAAAAGGAGGATCAGAGTAAACCCCACAAGCTGGAGGTTTCTTGCCCACTGGCCTTTGCCTCTCCGATGGCCCCATGGCTGCAGCGCGCGGCAGAGAGAGGGTTAAGCTGTGCTCCAAGCCAGCCTGACAATAATAGCAGGAAATGCACATTTCTTCCTTGCACCTGCAAGCACTCTGATGGGCTTTCTGCTGTTTATGGTAGTCACATTGGATCTTTCTCTTGTTAGAAGCTGAACAGCTCTAGCAGCCAGCTGTTCCCCTTGCTCTGCTCGTACCTGGCTCCCTTGCGCAGTCCGGGGTGGTGGGTGGGTGGAAAATCAGCCTTTTAGGTCAGCGTTCAAAAATAACCCATGAAGCCTTCCCTTCCTTCCAAGAGGGAAGGGTCCTGCTCCTCCCTGCTTTCTGCCTGCTTCTGCTTACTGCTGGCTCGCTTATCAGAGCTCTTACTGGGAATTTGGAGTCCTGTTCTAGCGAGGGATACTCCTAAAATATCTTCGGCACGGAGCTTTATTTCTCTGTTTTTCAAGGGTGTGTAGCGTTAGATGTGTGAAAAGGGAAGAGATTCATTAAGCTCCAGAGACAAACCGGTTTAAGCGCTCAGCCGGCTCTCGGGCTGAAAAGCCACTTCTGCAGCCTTGCCAGTTTACCAGTTAAATCGGCATAAAAATGGTGCCTGTTTTTCCACACTGCGGGCTGTCCTGGGGCGAGCTGTGGGCAGCACGGGGCAGGGGCGGCCAGAGGGTCCCCGGGAGCCACACACCAGGCTGGTCCAGAGCAGCCAGTCCAACCGGCTCCACAGGCTGCAGAGCATCCCGGAGACGGGGCGGGAGCAGGGAAATGGATGGGGCGCTGGATAGGCACAAAGTGGCTGTAATATACGGAGTTCTGCACCACAGAAACTGGTTTATATTCTAAGCCAACCCGTCAACTCCTGCCTGTATGTAGCCTGAGAGATTTAGTGCTAATAAATGTGCAGCAGCCGTCTCAGTAGTTGTTCCTTCTAAATTATTGTAAACAGCAGTGAACAAAGTTTTCACTTTCTTCTTGCCCAAGAAGAGCATTAGAGCCCGGTGTAGAAAATGCACTTGCTTTTCATGACCTTTGCAGAGACGATCTCCTTTTGAGCAGCTGCCAGCGCTGGGCTCCTGTCCCTCAGGTAGACCTGCTGCTGCTAAGGACACACACTCCTCACCAGGCATGCTAAATGAACTCTTCATGCAGGGAAAATCATCTTGAGTGTTATATGTTTTACATAACGAATCTATTTCTGTGTGTTTCACTTTTTTATCCACCTTTTTTTTCCCCACTTCTTTCTTCTAGTAACACAGCTCAAGCATGGAGGAATGTATCAGGCCGGGTCTGTTGTGCACAACCTGCAGAACAGATCATTACCTTCCACTCGTTTTGAAACTCTGGAAGAATGGGTATCCTGTAATTACCATAATAAGCCGTGAGAGTGGTATAGACAATAGGGATTGTTTCCAGCCAACGAATTCAGTTTGCTGGATCTTGGCTGTAGTCAGTGCAGAAATGAGGGCTGCCACTGGGAAGAAAGATCTTGAGTGTCCCATGTCTTGGAAATCACTGAGACACAATAGACACAGGCATCTCAGGTTGTTTCCAGTCATTTTAGCAATGGAATTGTTCTGTAAAAATAGTCCATACTTGAAATCTTAGGTTTTGTATTATTCTAGTTGAGGATTACTGCTTTCCAGCAGGCCGACGCAGGGCAGAAAGAAAGTAATCTGCAAAAAGGACTGGTTAGCTGGGGTATTGCATGGTATTACCTGGGTTTTTTCATGTGGTTGTATAATTTACTTTTGTTCTCATGCATATTTTGTCCTTGTTCATGTGAACATTTTTTCTTAATTGGCATATGCAGAGCTGCAGGGAGAGGCATATTGCCCTGCCACCCGCCCCCTCCTCCTTCAGCGGCGTGAAGTGTAGCACAGAGCGCACCTCGCCGTCACTGGAGAAAAACTGTATTTTAAGGAAATGCCTGACTCACATTGTGGGCTTACCTCCGGTGCTAAGAGATTTTTTTTTTTTTTTTTTTTTT